GCAAACTGATCCATCTTAGTTTCTTAATAAGGTATTGAGAATTTACAGTCGGTTGTACACTTTTTAAGGCAATGAGAACTGAAGGCAGTTTCACAGGCATCCACTGCATGTCTTCTGTCCCCTGTGATTGAAAGAGCAAATAAAAACTAATGTACTACAGAGGAGAAAGAAAGCGCTTTCAAAAGAAGTTTCAAACCACATGTAAAGAACTTTTCTTACATATTTTGTATCCTTATCAAACCACAGTCGCCTGTTCTTCCCAAGATCCTTTACAAAATTTTCTTGAATAATTTGTATTCCGATTTTTTGTAGCAAAGGATGCATTCCAAATTTGTTGTTCTTGTTAATTGTGATGAGGTTACGCTCGATAAGAACTCTTATTCCAATATCAGCGTCTACTCCACAACCGTTTAGGATCTTCCTAACGTAGGCTCTGCTCTTACCAACAAAGAAACAACATATATCAAGGAATATATCTTTCTCCATTTCATTCAGTGAACCTTCAATGCTTATTTTTATTATCTCTGAAAAACGATGCCTCCCAACTATCGCAAATTTTGACAATATAGTGTCCCATTCTTTTTTCGTCTTTTCAAATAAACTACTTCCAACGACTTCCAGAGCTAGTGGTAGTCCTCCACAATAACTAACTACTTTTGTTGCAAGGTAATAGTATTCTTCTTTTGGTTTTGCTTCTCTAAATGCATGCCAACTGAGAAGCTCAAGGGACTCCTCTGCGTTCATTCGCTCTACCCAAAAGAAAGAATTAGCATCGTTCAGCACTCCTTCAAATGTTGATGTAACGATTATTACAGTTCCTTCGCCGAACCATTTACCACAGTTCCATAGGTCGAATAAACTAAAGCATGAAACACCGTCAAGTACAATGAGCACCCTTTTTCCAGAAAGCCTTTCCCGAATCATACTTCTTCCCAAATCAATGTTAGGAATCTCCACCTTTTGTTTTAAGACATCTAAAAGAAGTTGTTCTTGTAAACGAAGATACCCTCTTATTCTTCTAACTTGTGAAATATTTTCCATGAAACTTTTCTCCTTAAATGTCCAATGAATTTGATTGTAGATGGCTTTGGCAAGAGTGGTTTTACCAGATCCTTCCTCTCCACATATCTCTATCATACAAACTTCAGTGGATTTATTTTTTATAGTTCGAATCAGATCTTCCACGTGGGATTGTAATCCAACTGGAAATTTAGTAGCAGACAAGACTGGTAAATTAACAACGCTCTTAACAATTTTCTCCACTAATTCAGCATCACTCCTTCAAGTGCAAGAGCAATTATATAAACAAAATGAAATCCGAGGTTTAAAAGATGGTTGATTGAGTGAGTGATGTACCTGTGATTGCTCTCATCCCATCCAAAGAAATTTGCAGCTTTGGTGAGTGCATGGCTCCACCTGGACATTCCATCCTCCAGTTCTTGTCCTGAAAATGTTTGTTGTGCAGTTGCCTTCAAAGCTTTTCCAAAGTCACCCTTCTGAAGACGTACATCAGATGGCTGGATTTCATAATATACGGGCAGAACATGTCGGCAATAAGTTTCGTGCCATTTGATGATTTGTAGAAGCTGATGAAGACACCAAGCAGATTGAGAATAGGTTTGGGTGAAAACAACAATTGCTACACGACAGCGGCTGAGAATAGGTTCTTGGATGTGAGTTGAATTCACTGCATTGTGGTGATGAAGGAAAGTGGTGAGACCAACAGTAGAGAGGACAGAATTGAGATGAGAAACAAAATTTCTGTGGATGTCTTCTCCGTTGAAGTTGATGAGCACATCGTACATCCGTGGGAGTTTGTAAGATGAGGAGGCGTTATCCATGGAAAGAAATTGATGAGAGGTCAGAAAGAGTTAGAAGAGAAAGCAATACTGGAAGACAGAGAAGGAGATGAATGCATCTTATAACAATCATATAGTTTTAATCTTCTATTAATAAATGTTAAATACAATGTATAGAATACGAAGTTATAAAATACATAAAATGAAAGGGACAAGTAGAAAATGATAGAATCGAAATGAGAAAGGAAAGGAGAAAGGGAGAATATAAAATAAGAAAACGATGGAAAAAAGGACTCAATTAAAAACTAAAAACAACAAGGGTGTACGAAAATAAATTAAAATCAGAATAAAGAGGATTAATTAAAGTGAAAAGGATAAAATAAAATCAGAACAAAATAGGAAAAATGAAAGACAAACAACCAAAATAAATCGAGATGGAAAAGAGAATAAAATAAAATAAATAAAAATAAGAAAACGTAAAGGAAGAGAATAAAATAGCCTTACTTGATCCTCACAGATTTAATTATTTAGAACTTCACACAACTATATACCCAAAATTTTGTACATGAAAAGGAACTTACAGATAAACATAACTGGTGCAAAGAAACTTTAATTTGGGCTTAAAAACTCAAAATTTGACTTTGGGGTATCAAATACGAAATTGGGTGACAATTTTTTTTGTCATCAATATTTTAAGGTGGTGCAAATAATAAATTCAAATAAAATATGTATAGCCCAATTAAGCTTGTGTGGGCTGAAAAGCTATGAAATTAGGCTTTTACTTCATGCACCCCATAGTTTCTTTCTTTCTTCCTCAATCCCTACAAATTTTTAAAATAACCATTTTATCCTCTGGAAAAATCACTTCCAAATTATATATTTCAAAAGTTTTCCGGAACAAAGATTTTGCAATTTTTGAAATAATATTTCTGAAATAAAATTTTCTGAACAGAATTTTTGGAATGAAATTTTTAAAATGTGATTTTCCAAACAGATTTTTCAGAATGTGTTTTGAAATAAATATTTCAGAATGAGATTTTTGGAAAAGATTTTCCAAAACTCATAATATCATCCGGAACACTTAAATGAAATGTATTATGAAAAGATTTTTCGAAATAAGTGAAATACATTCTAGAAAAATATTTTCAAAATGATGTTTTTTTTTTCTACATTTTTTCTCTTTTTTTTCTTCTTCTGTAGTGTTTTCTTCCTTCTTCTTCCTCTGCAGCATTGTGACTGTAACAATGACTATAATGTAGGGCACATTAATAGAAGATGATTAAGTCTTTTCCTAACGTTATGAGGGTGCAGTTAATAATTCTGGGAGTGCGATAAACAACAGCCATGAAATTCACATTTGCTTTGTTCCGTATATTACTGTCGACCACTTTTCACACCTCTACATAATACAGAAAGATCAATCTTTGCCCATAATTTGATGGGTGCCAGTTTTGAAAAAAAAAAGATAAGAAAAGGAAAATCAATTCATGATCCTTGAAATGATGTGAAGTGATTTTAATCAGTTTTTTTATGCTATCATTTTATTGGATTTTCAAAATCTTTTGAAATATATCAATAAATTTTTAATAGATTAAAATTTAATTATTTTAGAAACACACAAAGAAACAATACCACAACTTTAAGAGAAACTTTGTACTCAAAGAATACATTTGTCATAAAATCACACTTGAAATATATAGTTTTTTTTTTTTAGTTTTAAGTGTTTTGAGAGTTTGAAGTTATTAATCTATATTCTTCTTTTTAAAGAACATGTTACCTTACATATTCAAACAATATTACATTATTTTTTTTTTCTTATTTATCATAACTGAAACACCCAATGAAAGTTTTCATGATTATACCAGAATTCTTGACTTGATTTCTTTTAAGAGTGGATGGATTATTCTTATTCAAAAAAAAAAATCTTATTAGTAGTTTGTAATATAAACATGTTAGAATATTGTTTTGGTTTGTTTTGCATAATTTGTCAATGATATATTAAGTTAATTCTCGAGATGTGAGAGATCTATCAATTTTTAATAATTTTTTTTAAGATTTCATTAATTATTGATAAATGTGTATAAAATAATATCAACACAAACTTTTGATTTTTTCATAAGTAATTTTTTAAAAGTTATATAATATTTTTTTATAAATCAACTTATGCATAAGATAATTTTAGTTTATGAAACAAAATATTTCATTTTTTTCTAGTTTTCTCTCGTAATAAATATTAGGAAGAAAATCACCTCAAGATCATAAACTAAAGTTAATCTTATTTTTATTTCTTAGAAGTTTAGTAGAGAAATTTTGTCCAAACATTCTCTTGGTCAATAAAGAAAACATTTTTCCATTATAATATTGTGATATGAACACTATTTTTTTTATGGGTATATCTTATAAATTACAGGCTGCTGGAGTTGATGTTGGTTGAACCCATGAATTTTTTATGCAAATTTTCCTGAAAAACACGTTTAACAAAGCTGTTTACAACTCTTTCCAAACAAAGAATTTCAGTTCCAACTTTTTATTTTTATTTTTCCACTTATGGAAAATGGTATCCTTTTCAAAAGTCTTGTCAATGGTGTGAAATCAAGTTGTAAAGGGTTAATAATTATAATTCAAAATTTCATTAAAAGGTAATCATTAGTTTCATATAATTAATTTTAGTCAAAATGTTACATTTACCCAAAGAATAATGTATCTACATTAAATTTATATTCTTGAAATCAATTTTTGTTAGTGAACCATATTAGATAAAACCAACTTTCCTTGATTTTCAAATGAACCTTGATTTTAATTTCTTAATCATAATAAAAATTTGAAAAATTATTATTATTTTTGTTTTGACTTTGAAAGGGAAATTAGAATCAATTATGAAAGAATGGAATCTAGTCTAAACATGTATTAAATATATGATAGATCCAGACTTTGTGAACGGAAAATTACTTTATTATTTTCAGATTAGTTAATTCTAATGATTTTTTAAAGAGAATAAATTTCAGTTTTAAAAATATCATGGAAGGCAATTTTTAACATCTATTATGAGGTTCTTCTTCCTCATTTTTTTCAACTTTTATTCTAAGACTTGGACGCAACAACTTCAAGAAAAGTTTATGCTTCTGATGAGCAAAATGTAAAAGGAGAGGGAACTCGATAAATTAACTTTGGTGTAAAACTTTATCTTATATCATCATTTTTTCTTGCAACATCATTTTCTTAGATTAACTTAAACTTAACTCTCTACTTTAATATCATAATCCATCCTAACAATATTGATTAGATATAATATGTTACTTTAATATCATAATCCCTCCTAACAATATTTATTAGATATAATATGTTACTTTCATATTATATTCGCATACACGAATATCATAATGCATAAGTGCGACGACAGAGGTTTTGTTAAATGACAGGCTATTTTCTTTAGTATATACGCGCAGTTTGTGCTGTTCTTTTTTAAATAATTACAGATAAATGATTTTATCAGTAATGTTTTTACTTACTTTGATTGTAAGTTGTAAGTTTGAGTTTGTATTATGTTCCTTAAAATATATATATTTTTTATAAATGCATTTTTAGTCTAAATAATATTACTCGGTTTCTCTTTTATCCCTATTCTCGTAAAAAAAACATTGAAGGTTAGAAAGGAATGAATGAAAGAGTTATAAATTAAGATGAAGTTTCTGAAAATGAATATAGGTATGTAATTTGATCAATTATAAACTATTTTTTAATTCGTATCAAATATAATTTTTATATAAAATTAAATTTAGTTACGTATTATTAAGTATTGTTGGTTAAATAGATTACTGTTTTCAAATACAGTAATCGAGTTAGGTTACGTGTTAGGTTAGTTTCTCTTTTCTGTTATTTTCCCTTCCCCTTCAGAACTCTATAAATAGAGTTTTCCCCCTCAACATACCTCTATGTAAGAATGTACATTTTTCAAGCAATAACATCAAATATTCTTTTCTTCTAAAGAGTAAACAGGGATCTCTTTCACTAACCTTTTATCGTGCCTTTCTCCTTCTTCTTTTCGGTCTTCTCTTCCATCGTCTCCGGTGAAGGCAGCTGCTTGCTCCGACGACGGGTTTCCATGGAAGCCCTAGAACCTTCCTTTCCATTCACGAGATGCGTCCTACGTTGCCAGCCACCCACCATCTGATCACGAGGCATCTTCTAATGCAAGTGTAGTTTTGCGTTTTGGTATTAGTGGGTGCGTTTTGGGTTAAAGGCCATTGGGCCCGTTCTTTACAAGCCTGGCCCATTCTCTTTATGGTATCAAGAACAGAAACCATACCCACCTCACTTCCGCTGCCCAGGTTTCGTTCTTTGATGATTCTTGCATAGTTTCTTGCACTATTTCTTGTTTCCTTCTACCATGGATACCACAGACCAATCTGCCAGCCCTTTCTACTTACACCCAGGGGAGAATCCAGGATTAACCCTCATCTCTCAAGTCCTGGGTGAGAATAATTACTCATCTTGGAGCAGAAGCATGAGAAGAGCACTCCTATCCAAAAACAAGATCAAATTTATTGATGGGTCTATCAAGAAACCCAAGAAAAATGAAGCTTTGTTTGATGCATGGGAAAGATGCAACATGATGGTACTTTATTTTAAAATCTCTGATCTTCTCCAAGACATCCATTCAATCAAACAAGGGGAAAGAATTGTTAATCAATTCTTTACTGACTTAAAAATCCTCTGGGAAGAATTGGAATATCTTAGACCCATACCAAACTGTACCTGCGAAATACCTTGCAGTTGTGAACTCTCAAAAACTTCTCTGAAATACAGAGAAGTAGAGCACGTTATATGTTTTTTAAAAGGGTTAAATGACACTTATAATATTGTCCGGACCCAGATTCTGTTGATGGAACCTCTACCAAACATCAATCGTGTTTTCTCTCTCATTATGCAACAAGAGAGACAAGAAAGGTCTGAATCTGGCACTGCAAGCCATAATCACTATACTGAAACCAGTAGAGTCATAGCCAATGTTGCTAACAAGAACAGCAGTTGGAAACCAGACCAGACCTGGAAAAATCAAGGTCGTGGTGTTGGGTCACATGGTCTGGGAAGAGGCAGAGGAAAGAATCCTAATTACGGGAAACAGTGCTCTTACTACAACAAGATGAAT